TCCACCAAAAACAAAAGCAGCGAGTGGCCCATCATTTTGGTACAAATTTTCCAGAGTTATGACATTCTTAGTACCTGATTGTATGATTAGGATTTTTGCAAGAAAAGAAACTCCTGAACAAAGACAAGCATGGAGAGAAAAGGTAACACTCTGTATGCTGATTTCTCTTGCATGTTTTTTTCTAGCTGGAATCACATTCTTCATGAATATATTTATATGTAACACATCTACGATATTGATTTTCAATAAACTAAAGCCAGAAAATTTTGAAGACAATATTATTGTGGCAAATGGTAAATTGTATGGGACAAACAAAGAGTACCCACTAGAGAATAGTACGCATTTATTTAGGAAAAGGTCGGAAGCCTGTAAAAGAGCATTTGGCCATCAGATTTCATCAGGAACATTTTCGGAGAGCAATTTTGAGGAGATGGATAAAGTATATTTCGATTGGAGTTATATTCAAGACAATGGATTTATTGTGATTGACAATAAAGTATATGATCCCAGCTATTGTGATGAAGAGGACTTAAGTCAATTCATTCAAGATTTTAAGGGATCAGCAGCAAGTAAAACCCATTTGGAGAAATATGATAAAGATTGCATCGAATGCTTCAAGGATTCATTTTATTCTGGAGAAGTATCATTTAAATCCAACGGTTGTATACTCGGAGATATCGTACTTTGGATGGGTACTGTAATTATATTTGGACTGATCCTAACTCGCTTCTTCTTAGCACTATTCTATGCTTGGCATGAAAAGAAAAGAGCTGTTTCCATTCGTGGCAATACACCTGTAATTTTACAAGTTGCATGCTATTCTGAAGGAGCAGCAGGTTTAAGATCCACTTTAGATTCATTAACTGCCCTGGAATATGATGATGACTACAAGCTAATAATTGTTATTGCCGATGGTCAAATTAAAGGTGCTGGAGAAGAGAAGTCTACACCTGAAATTTTATTGAATATCTGTGATATTGAACAGGATGTGGAACCGATGGCTTATGTGTCTCTTGCACCTGGTCATAAGAGATTTAATAGGGCCAAAGTCCATACAGGGTGGTATGAGCACAATGGTAAGAAATCCAGAATAATGGTAGTTAACAAAGTAGGAAACCCCGGAGAGGTTGTAAAAGCCGGAAATCGTGGAAAGAGGGATAGCCAGGTTATTCTTATGTCATTCTTTTCCAAAATTCTCTATAGCGATCGTATGAGTGATTTAGACTGTGAAATATATCGGAAAATGAAACGGATGTTTAACAAATTTAGTCCTGAAGACTTTGAAATTTTGTTGATGGTAGATGCCGATACAATTGTTGAACCTGATGCTGTAGTCAAAATGGTTTCTGCATTTGAGAAAGATAATAAAATTATGGGGCTATGTGGAGAAACTCAAATATCTAATAAATGTGAATCGTGGGTAACTGCATTACAAGTATTTGAATATTATATTAGTCATCATCTGGCTAAGAATTTTGAAAGTGTCTTTGGAGGGGTAACATGCCTTCCAGGATGCTTTTGTATTTATAGAATCAAGATAGTAACAGATCAGCATGGGAATATTAAGAACCATTCTGATAAAAAGATTTACGATGAAACATGGACATGTGTTCCAATTTTAGCTAACCCCATAGTTGTAAATCCATATTCGGTTTTCGAGGCCAAAACGCTACATGAACAGAATTTGCTACATCTGGGAGAAGATAGATACCTAACCACATTATTAATGAAAAACTTCTATAAAAGGAAGCTGATATTTTTGGCAGCTGCAAAATGTTCAACTTGTGTTCCTAATGATTATAAGACTCTACAATCACAAAGAAGAAGATGGATAAATTCCACAATTCACAACATGTTTGAACTGGTTTTAGTAGATAAATTATGTGGAACAGGTTGTTTCTCAATGCAGTTTATTATATTTTTTGAACTTTTTGGAACATTAACCCTCCCAGCTGCAATATTCTTTACCGGAGTTTTATTGGTAAAAGCATTCATTGGAGAGCCTGCATGGATTCCACTAGTAATGCTGGCTCTTATATTAGGGCTTCCAGCTGTATTGATAGCATTAACAACTTTTCAGCTTCAATATTTCGGATGGCTCTTGATCTACATTATTAACTTGCCTATATGGAACTTCTTCTTGCCTGTATACGCCTTCTGGCATTTTGATGACTTTTCTTGGGGAGATACTCGTAAAACCGAGAGTGATTCTTCTAAGAAGGATGAAAAAGGCGAATTTGATGCCACAAGTATAACTTTTGTAGAGTTAGAGGAGTTAAAGAATGACATTTTGAAAGAATTTGAAGCCAAGACTAAATAAATAGAATATAAAGATTTTATGGAAAGTTGATGTATCAGAAATAGGGTACCATATAATTATTCTGAGGGGATTTTTCAAAGTAACCGGATAAGTCTAGATGATATGCGTTCTTAATAATCTAGCTAGCTATTGAGTTTTTATAAAATTTTGTAAAATTTTTTCAATCTGTTTTTATCCCTAAATGAGTGCACTTGCAAATGCATGCAAAGCCATAAATAATGCTGTTAGAGCAAAGAAATCGCAAGTGTCAATTCTACATACCAGTAAAGAATTGAAGGATTTTTTAATCGAAATGAAGAAACATGGGTATATAAATACACTAACATGTATTCAGAGTGTAGACAAAGAAAAGGTTGTTATCGGATTAAATGGTCGTCTTACAAAGTGTGGAGCAGTTTGTCCCCGATTCACGTATAAATGTGATGATATTCAAGCCACTGCCAATAGATTAAAGCCTGCTAGACAATTTGGACATGTATTATTTAAGACATGTAAAGGTGTTATTGATCATAATGAGGCCAATGCTGTGAGGGCTGGAGGTAAAATTATGGGATTTTTCTATTAGGAATAAACTTAAATACTTATAAAAATATGTTTTATTAAATCTGCCATATTTTCTTCTATCTTTAAAGTTATAGAAAGAAGAAATTTACAAAATAGATACCTTAAACATTAAAATGTGTTTCTACTTATTCTTTATTTTTAGGTTAAAGTTTCTGAAAATATACTTACAACAATGCTACTCCATATAATGATTTATTATTAATTTAATACATGCATGTTATTGTCATGATGTCTATAGTTTGCAGTCCATCTAGAATCAATAACATGATCTGGATGTGCTGATAGATCTGATTTACGATAAAATTTAAATTTATTAGGAAAATATATTGGAACATGTGTAATACTTACAGGCGGGTCATAGTGAGTAGTTTTTCCATTCAAAATATATGTTATATTTCCATCATGTTGAACTGGAGGAAGAGAATATATGTCATGCTTCAATGAGGCCAAATGGTTTGGCAATTTGTACTGAGATGAAGAGGAATCCGTTGAAATTGTTGGATTTTCAACACCATCGGGATTTATGGGATCAAAAGAATTAATAAGACCAAATATTTTGAAAAAGTATACGAGTAGCATATTTATACTCGCCTAATATAAGTATTTATTAATGTTTCTGAAACAAAATCCAAAACATACCAATTAAATATGATATTACAACGATGAAACAAATAGTTGATACTATATATCAGAAGAGTTATAAAATCAAATAATAGGACATTGAAAAAATTCAGGAACAAGGTTAACGCGTAGAGTGAAAATGGAACGATAAAACTGTCTCGCATATTTCATTAATTTTATTCATCTGATGCGATAATATCGGATATGTCAGACCCATCATCAGTGTGCTCTTCGGACTCCGATGAATATGAATCCTCAATGACTTCACTTACAATCTTAATAGAATTTCTATTAAAATACACCTCAATTCCATTAAAATGATTTTTGTTAATTCCGTTGAAATTATAAACTTTATCAGCATATACAGTGATGTCAAATGTCTTTGCCTGTGCAGTGCTGATATTAATCCTACTAAACTCTATGTAGTTGATTGAATCGAGTGGAATGGAAATGGCTTTTGGAAGAAATTGTAAACCAGATTCCATAAGATATAAATGACCTTCATGGACTTTTGATGTGCATCTGAAGTGTAAATCACTCTTTTCAATTTTCAAACCTACCATATTCTCAATAATCTCCGTAACAATATCACATTGGTCCCCTTTATAATATGCTTTGATATTACGTTTAGTGTGATGATCCAAATCGTTTAACTCTGATTTTGAGGCCACTTCAATCTCCTTAGAATCCAATAGGAAAACTAGTGATTCATATCTTGTCTGCCCTTGCAAAATTGGATTCTCTAACTTTATCACCAGATAATGCTCATTCTCATTATCGAGGTATAGAATCTCTCTTACATTCTTATAAAATACATGATGATCGTAGGATGAGCCCCTAACTTCGAAATAATCATCGAAGAAAACCAGGGTTGATTTAGATCTGGGATAGATACAGTTTACGTTATTTATAATACAAATTTCTTCTGACACTTTATTTTTTAAAAATGATGGTAGATTACTGGTTGTATTAAATACAATTTCAAGATCTGCGGCGTGGAATTGTAGTTCATTATCAATTTCTAAAATCTTATCAATTTTTCCTTTGGGAATGGAAAATATGGTTTTAGAATTCTGAAGTGTTAAAACACCATTCGAGAAATCAAAATTACCTTCTGTAGTGTTAATCCTCTCCAATTCCGTTGTCGTCAAAACCATTCCAAGCTGAGAAGTAGAAAAATCCTTTATCTTGGGAATATTCTGTTCCTGAATATTACAGATATCGTAGACATGACCTTCTACAAAAATTCTCAGATTAAAATATCTAATCGATCGGAATAACTCTAAATGCCTTAATTGATCCTTTTGTAACGAAATAGAACTACTGTCTGTTTTGATGACTATTCCATCACTTGAAAGTTTCAAAGTAGCTGGGAATTGGTCGAAGTAGACAGATTCTAAATTTAAAATTTCCATGGGTGGAAAAATTTGTAAAAAATTAAAATGGATTACAAATAATAATTAAGAAATAAATATGGGATATGTAAGGATTTAAGTATCAAACTAGCTTGTTAAAAGGTCTGTAGAATTTTAAACCTGGTAAAATGATTAGTCACTCTCTAAAGTTATTTAGTTTTTCTTTATATATAATTAAACCTTACAGACATACACATTGTACTTTAAATATTTATACTTAATATTCACAAATGGGAAAGTCTATTCTAAATATTTAATATTTTTATGGGACATCTGCAGAATATGCTTGAAGAAAACTAATTTCCTTTTGGAAAATATTGTGGGAAGTATTACCAATCCAACTAATATATCTCATATGGAGAAGAGCTCACAAATAATATATAAATCAAAATATTTATTGAGTTGAGAAACCATAAACGATTTTTAAACCTTGATTTACTTTAAACATTTTCTTTTCAAAGTGTTGCAATAATGTAACCTATATTCATCTAGTTAACTGATCACAGAAGCATAATATCAAATTTGGAGTTGGATTTTTTACAATAATTCACATAGATCTCTGTCTAGTGAGTTCGTTAGTTTACAGTTAGGTAGATTTTCGCCAATATTAACTTCATTTCTATTTGTTATTGGAGTATATTGTCCATTTATATCTACTTTATAAAAACATTCTCCATTTTTGGGATTTCTAATACACCCACTCGCTAAATATTCCTCTTCGACTGCTCTTATTTTCGATTTTTCCCGAATACTTGCAACAACTTTGCCAATCTTGGTTATTTTATTTTTAATATCAGTTAAAAATGTCTCTGGATTTTCTAATCCATTTTGACTGTAATCTCTATTGATTTTTGGTCTGCTAGATCTTTTATATTCCTGAGTATCACTTTTTATATCGTTAAAATCAGAAGATATCCAGTTATAGAAATCTGTATTCAAATCCAACTCCAATTCTTCAGGATTTAAGAATTCATCATTCTTCTTATCCATCGACTTGGGAATAAACAGAAACATTTGACTGTTATCTTGACAACTACGATCAAAATATCTGTTTTTTTGATTATTATTTTCTGAATCAATATATATGCATCTATTCTTATATATCTTATCACTTATGGTGATACACATATTCTTAGTAATAAACTTGGCAATGCCAGTATGATCAATCCTTATTCTAAATCTGTGGGTTATCTTATTCCCAATTTTAGTAATTGCCAAATTAAGACTATTTCTAGGCTTATTTCGATTAGCAATTTCTGTAACAAATATTTCTATTGGTATTGATGAGAGAATTAACTTATTTTGATACAAATTTATGAAGGCATTC